AAACAGTTCAATTGGAGGAAAAGCATATGAGATTCTATAATTTCTTACCTGACTCACTTCTTTAGCTCTGAGACAAATTACTTACAACTGTTAATTTTTTAAATGATAACATCCCTGAAAAATAGTTAAAGTTTTCTTTGATGTTCTGCCCTTGTACTCCTAGTAACCCCAAATTTTCAACACATTCTGGAATTGTGCTGTGAAAGTACACTAAACTTTTCCACTTACATTGAATTAATTTTGAAAATGTCTAAATGCTATTCTTTATAGCCTATTTTATTATTCATCAGGAGGTTAACAACAAAATAAGTGCCATACCTGCTGTGATAATAGCTGAAACTATCTTGGACAAAAAGCTTTTCTTTTTCCAGCATAACACGTTGTGGAATTTCATTGACAAATATAAAAACTATGAAGCTACTGGACAAAGTATATAAATTTCAATATGCAGAAAAAACATGTATTACTGCATTTTAATTAAGTTTTTAGCTTTTTCAAAGAAAAATGTCAGGAAAAAAAACATTTCAAATGGGACATCAGAACATTTCCTGGTTATTACTGCTATCACAAGGCATATCCTCCATAATAAGATGAGAATATTAGTATAAACTTTGAAATCACGAGAATGGAACTAGACATTTCAAAAATGAATCCAAAGGTTGTACGACAAGGTGTGATGCATAGTAGATATTTAGCTTTCTTATTTATTGGAATTATGAGTAATGGCTATGATTTTTAAAAACTTCTATGTTGTGAAGATCAGGCACAAGATGGACTGTTGTCGACTCGTGCACACATTTGGGAAGACAGTGTAGACATCCTTTCCTCTAGAGCCCACACAATAGATACACTATGGCATTTTGTTTGAACACTTTGTCTACAATGCATAATTATATATCTAATGTCCTACAGATTTTCTTACCCCATTACAGCTTTCTGGGATTGCCACATTCTGACCCTGTAGGAAAGATATCTTCCAAACACCATCCCCACAATATATCCTCTGTAACAATAGTGTAACTTCTCAGTACTTCCTTCAGTTTAAAATAGTCTGTGCAATATCAGAATAATTGTCCATGATTACTTTAACCTGACTTTCAGTGACTTTAAGATTCCAAATAAATGCTATTGGTGAATGCATGACATTTCTATCATTCAGTTTGACTTTTTCAAAACTGCTTGTATCTATAAAAATGCGTATATCACTTAACGCATTCTTATTTAGTGAAAGTGAGTCTATCAAACTGTGTTACATAGCACATGCCCATTTCCTTATATTAGCAGTTTATTTCCCCACTTTATTCTTGCTTCTGATGTTTTATTTTACCACCTACTGTAATAGATAGTGCTCCTTCTTTTGCCCCCTTTGTATACATACAAACACTCATGTTTATAACTCACAAGTATGATATGCCGTATTGTTTTATTTATAAATATGATTGCTACTGTCACTTTATTTCTTGAAGATTACAGGAAAAAGTGAAGACAGTGCCTGCTTTTTTTGTTATTCTTCATTGGCCAAAATGTTTATTTCATTTCTGGCTATATAGTGGAAACCCAACGAGAAAACCAGGATAAATATTATTTGAAAGAAAGAAAGAATCAGAATACAATACCACAAACCTTTTAAGTCAAATTAAATGGATTTGTGGGTACTTTGCTCTAAACATATGTGTGTCTCCTGCAAAGATTGTTGGAACTCTGCATTTTCTTTTTAAAATAAAACAAGAGTTATGAGTCAACTCACCTAAATACAGAAGCCCTTGAATGAGTTTACTAAAGAACTCCTTGCTAAGAATTAAACACCTGGAATGCTGCTGCTTAGTATTTAATAGAAACAGACCTGAAAACGGTAGTGCAACCCATCAGTAAATTTATTAGCTCTTTCATATATTGCTATTTTCATATATATCCTACATATATCACTACTATTTTACATATATTACTATTGAGAAAACTCCCAGATACCAAAGGTAAGATCAAACTGGAAACTAAATCCTGACACAAAACTGCATCACAAATATATGCCATCAAGATCTTAGGGATGTGGGGACAGAGATTATCACTAAAGTGTTGCCTTGATGACTGCAGTTCAAGTAATGAGATGTTAACACTGTCCCATGTGGTGTCTTGATTGTGTATTATTTCCTAAAGCCTTAGGGCATTTGAATTATCAGCTTGTTTAATCTTAAAACATAAAAGGAATTGTATCTGTTTCTTGATTTTATATGGATGCAAAATATAAAACTGTTCAAGAGAAAAATAATCTATTTGACAGTATTGCAGAAAAAGCTTTTATTAAACTATGTTTCATTTATTTTTCTATTTCCTTATGACAGTAAACGCTCATATTTTCTTATGTTTTTAAAATAGAGCAACTTAAACAGTAACTCATATTGTTTATTTGGTATATTGCACCATTTATATTGTAAACTTCATATTATATTTACGTTATTGATTTTATCAAGAGGAAATAACTTTCATTGTTTTTCAAATGTAAATGCAGTGTTCTCAGATGTTTAAATTTACTATTGAATCTTAAAAAACAACTCAGTGGACGTGATTTGAGCAAACACCAGGAGATAGTGGAGGACAGGGAAGCCTGGTGTGCTACTTTCCATGGGGGAGCAAAGAGCTGGACAGGACTTAGAGACTGAACAACAGCAGCATACCAAATGCACATTTTTTTGTATTAAATCCCTCTTAGATATGATATATTATCTTATTTTATATATCAATGAACTGATTTGCTATTTGAACTGGTTGCCCATGTTTATTTATGATATATTATTCTGTACATTTCTTATCTGGTGATATTGTCATCAGACAATAAGCTGTAAAACACTCCCTACTTATTTTACAGAGAGGCAAAATTTATGCAAGATTGACAATTATGTCTTCTTAATGTGGAATCTTCCTTGAAGATAAGGCTATGATATTTATAAAGAATTTTCTGCAGTTTTGATAATAACAGTAGGAAATAAACACCAAATATAACTAGAAAATTACTCCTAGATGGTTCTTCTTTCAGGCTCTTCTTTCAAACTCAGGGTTATTTTTATTTACTTTCTGTTGAGTATTATCTTTGTGCTTAGAATGAAACTATTTTTCATCTACAAGACTGTTCTTGAACTTGAATGAACTATGTATCTAGGCAGTAATACCCAGGAAAAATAGCATTGAGAAAGTGCTCCACAGTCTGTTCCCCTATTAGCCCATCTAAGTTTTTCTTTATCTCTTTCAGGCAAAATATTTTTTTAAGATGATGAATAGTAATGAAGACCAGTTGTGCAATAAAGAATTTAACCCACCATCTATGGAGTTGGTGCATCATATGACAGTTGCCCAGCATCAACAAATTTGCTGAAATCTTATTTATTAATATACATGATATGAAAATTAGTATTACCTAATGAGGCTTATGGGCTTTCCTGGAGGCTCAGACAGTAAAGAATCTGCCTGCAATGCAGGAGAACAGGTTTTGATCCCTGGGTAGGGATGATCCCCTGGAGTAGGGAATGGCTATCCACTCCGGTATTCTTCCCTGGAGAATTCCATGGACAGAATAGCTTGTGGGCTATATCCACGGGGTCGCAAAGAGTCGGAGAAGACTGAGCACCTAACACAATGAAGTTTATATTGAACTTATAACATTTTCTCCATTAAAAGACTATTCTGTACATTCTTTCTTTATCTTGTGAACAATTTCATTAAAAATATTTCCATAACACTTTAGAAACAAAACAAAAAGCTGCACCTATGCAAACCACCAAGAAGAATTTAAAGTTAAAAGAGTATAATTTATTTCTGGAAATAAAGAGCTCATCATTAGGACTTTGTAGAACAGACAATAAAATCATATATATTAACAGATTTTCAATTTTAAAATCTACATTCATTGTAAAATTGTACTGTCAAAATTTATGGAGAATTTCTGCTTTAAATACATGTAAATAAATGACTATTCACAGTATTTTCTGAAGTAACAAACATTCTATTCTAAAGGATTCTGCAGCCATCCAGACTTTTTTTTCTTTATAATTTGTTCTGGCTTTTCTTGAAGGACAGAAACCTAATCACAGCATCAAAATTATTCTTTGCCTAAAATCTGTCATCAATTTTTTTAAGATTAGTATCTTAAATACAAGATGTGTAACATATGTCAAAGATAGTTCATTGTATAAACTGCAGGTAAGTTTGCTAGTTGGGCAAAATTAAATCAGGTTAACCAAGATGCTCTAGCTGATATTAGCAGGGTTCCCATTCAGTCCACCAATAATGTTACTTACCAATGAAGTTCTTTGTTATTTTATCTTTATATACCAATAGCTATATATACACAATTTAAGATTGACATGAAGACTACTTTAGATTTAGCTGGAACTATTTCTGAAGTGTGCAGTTCTTATTTTATTTTTGATGTTTTATTTACAAAAAGCAAATAAATTTTATATTAACAAGTACAATTTGACCAAATTGATTTTGTGGGGATGGAAATATGACTTCTTTGAACTTATAATGTACCGATGTTTCCTGTGTGGGATTAAATGAATATGTCTTTTCAATTTAGTGTCTTAGTGTTGAACAACTCTCAGTTTACTATATTTCTGTTGATGCAACTCTTTCATAAATTTTCTATAAATTTAGCTATAAATTACTTTAACTTTTAGCCATATATTTTCAGAGCAACTCTATAAATCCATTGCTCGATGACTGTACCTTGGCAGCCAAATGATAATGTGAGCTTACTCAGAAATCTTTATATGAAAAACCACCTAGAGACTTAATTTAAATGGTCCAGGCTTTAATTATGTGTTGTTTGTTATTTTATAGGTAATTCTCTGAAGTTGACTAAAGTTGCTGAATGTTGTATTAACCAGGACCTTGCACACTTCAAAAGTGTGTACTGTTTTCTTTTCTGAAAAAAAATAGTTTGAAAGTACTATAAATTCTGGAAGACTTGGACAACTATCCTCTTGAAAGTGCACACTAAATCTTAGTCATTTTACATTAATCATTAATTGACATATTAAGTTGGTGTTGATTAACTTCCTGACAGCGGCCTTCACATCTTTGTTTCTGAGGCTGTAGATCAGCGGGTTCAGCATGGGGATGACCATTGAGTAAAACACAGAGGCCACCTTGACCATGAGCCATGAGCTTTTGGAGTTAGGAACACAATAGAGGAAAAGGATGCTCCCATGGAAGATGGTGATGGCAGTCAGGTGGGAGGCACAGGTGGAGAAGGCTTTGTGGCGCCCCCCAGTTGAAGGCATCTTCAGGACAGTGATAATAATGCAAACATAGGAAGTAAGAATAATCATCAGTCTGCTTACTTCATTAAACGTGGCGGAGGCCAAAATGATCTCCTGGCTAATGTAAGGGTCAGAGCAGGAAACAGCAACTATGGCCACGTGCTCACAGACAAAGTTATTTATGAACTTAGTCCCACAGAAGGATAAAGTCAAAAAAAGTAATGTGTATATTAGGGAACAGGCTATACCCCAAGAGTATGTAGCAATCACCAACACAAAACTAAACCTCTGGGACATCACAGCTGTGTAGAGAAGAGGGTTGCAAATGGCCACAAATCGGTCATACGCCATCACTGCCAACAGGAACGTCTCTGTCACCACAAATATGCAGACAAAGAAGAACTGCATGAGGCATCCTGTGAAGGAGATGGTTCTGTCTTCCACAATCAGGTTTTCTAGCAGCTTGGGTGTAACTGCTGTTGAGTAACAGAGATCCACAAAGGATAAGTGGCTGAGAAAGAAGCACATGGGCATGCGGAGCCTGGAGCTGGACTTGACGATCAGGATCGTGCCCAGGTTCCCCAGCACGGTGACTGCGTAGACGGTCAGGAAGGCCAGGAACAGGGGCAGCTGGAGCTGAGGATATTCTGAGAAGCCCAAGAGAATGAAGGTGACCTCAGCACTCTGGTTCGCTTGGTTCCTGTGGACAAAATATTAATGTTGATCCAGAAGTAGAAACTAAACTTTGAAACAGGTGAGAGAACAGAAATGTGGGAAGCTCACTGGGTCTCTGTTTGCAGTGTTTCTGTAGATGCTGCACTTCTGCCTTATTTCAGATGCTAATGCCCACGTACAGTCAATTATACAGCCAATAATAATGTTCATTGTGTGTGATCTTCAGAAACAAAGAACTAAAACAGGTTAGATCCTGCTTTATTTCCAATAATAAAATTCATTATTGTCAGCTGCTTTCAAGAGACATTGTCTTTGCATGACTCTGAGCTTTGTGAAAACACCTGATATGACAATTCAATTACATGCATTGGAGAAAACCATATCGTTAGGTTCCAGTTTCGTACCTGCCTCACCTCCTGAGATATGAGACAATTAACTTATATGCTAATTTGTATAATGGTAACATCTCTGCAAAACAGTTAATATAATATTTTCTTGGTTGTTCTATCCCCTTTCAATTCCTTTCTTATTCCTAGTTATTCCAAATTCTCAACCCTTTCTGGAGCTATGCTATTCTCAACCCTTTCTGGAGCTATGTTATAAAACATACTAAACTTTTTCATTTATGTTGAATTAATTTTGAAAATATTTAAATGGATTCTTCATAGCCAATTATTCATCAGAAGGTTCAAAACAAAGTATGTGCTATGCTTCCTGTGATAATAGTTGAAACAGTATTGAACAGAAAACTCTTATTTTTTTCCATTGTAGCAGACTTTGGAGTTTGGGTGACAAAAATAAGAACTGTGAAAGTATTGGAGAAAGCATATAGGCTTCAGAATGGATCAAATATATACTCTGCCATTTTGAATTAAGAAAAATTTGAATTTGAATTCCGAAGAAAAGTGGCTGGAATACACCTATTTCAAATGGGACACCAGAATGTTTCTTGATTATTACTGATCACAAGGCATTTCCTCAACATAAGATAAGAATATTAATATAAACTTTCAATCACTAGAATGGAACTAGATACTTCAATAATGAATTCAAATGCTGTAAGACATGGAAGAACAGATATTTACCTTTTTATATATTAGAATTATGAATAATTGTTATGATTTCAAACACCTGATATGTTTGTGAAAATCCTGCAGAAGCATGGACATCTATCAACTGGTGGAGACATTGGGGAATACAGTGTTGAAATCCCTTCTTCTAGAAGCCACACGATAGAAGCACTGTAGAATTTCATTAGAATGCCTGGTTTAAGATGCATATTTCCTTATTTTCCTCTAGGTTTTCTCACCACACTATAGCTTTCTCTGATTCCCACATGATGAACTTGTAAGAAAGCTATCTTCCAAAGACCATGTCCACAACAGATCCTCTGTAAAAATACTCTGTAAGGTCTCAGCACTGCAAAGATTGATTATGACTATATTATTCCAGCCACATTCTTTCCATTTAAAATACTCTGGGAAAGATTATGAGAATAATTTTCCATGATTGTTTAATATAACAGTGACTTTAAGGTTCCAAATAAATGTTAAACAAATGCATAACATTAACATTATCCAGTATGACTTTTCCAAAAACTGCTTAGATCTATATTCAACCTCATTATCACTTAATACATCCTTCTTTAGTGAAGGTGGATTTATCAACTTCTGCTATATAGTACATGCCTATTTCTTTATAATTTACTTCTCCATTTTATTCTTTCTTATGATGTTTGCTTTATTTTACCACCTACTTTTATAGACATGACTCATTGTTTCATCCCCTCTGTATACAGACAAACTTTCATATTTATCACTCACAATTACCATAGGTTATTTTCCTATTATTTACAAATATGGTTGCTACTGTCACTTTGTTTCTAGAAAATTACAGGAAAATCTCAAAGACAAGGCCCACTTTGTTATAATTCTCCCTTTTGCTGAAAGGAGAATTCTCCATTTCTGACTTTATGCTGAATACCCAATGAGAAAACTATGATAAAAACTATTTGAAAGAAAAAATTGGAATATAACTCCATAAGCCTTCTCAGCCAAAAAGTGGTTCTTTGTGGACACTTTGTTCTACACATGTGTTTGTCTCCTATAAAGATTACTGGATCTTTGTATTTTCGGTTTTAAGTAAAACAGAAGAGACATGAGTCAACTCACCTAAATACAGAAGAACTTGAATGAGTCATTTAGTGAAGAACTCTTTGCCAAGATTAACGAACTCCAGCAATGCTGCCGCTTGGTACTTAGAAATACACCTGAAAAGGGTAGTCAAAGCGCCCAGCAGTTTTCATTAATTATTTCATATTTTATGATTTTCCAACCTGTTAGGAAAACTCAGGGATACCAAAGATAAGATCAAGCCTGAAAAGTAAATCCTGGCACCAAGCTGTATCACAAATATACGCCATCATGACCTTAGGGATGTGAAAACTAGAGAATATAACTGAAGTACCGCCTTGATCACTGCAATTCAACTAATTATGTGTTAACAGTCTCAGGTGGTATATTGGTTGTATATTATTTCCCTAAAGCCTTAGGGCATTTGTATTATCAACTTTACTCATTCAATCTTAAAAAATAAACAACACCATTTTTAAAAATTTTATGTGGATATAAAATACATAAATCCACAAGGGGAAATTATGCAGCAATAGATTTATCTTTTATTAATCCCCATTTAATTTTTAAAATTTTCTTATGAAGATATATATATATGTATTCTTATGTTTCTAAACATATGGCTGCTAAACTATAATTATACTGTTTATTTGGTACTTTATAATATTTGTATTCTAAACTTTATTTTGCATTTACACTATTGATTCTATTGATAGAAAACAGCTTCCATTGGCTTTTCAAATATAGAATGTTCTCAGATGTTTATATTTATTACTGAATCTAAAAAGAAATTTTGGATGATATGTCTTCTAAAAATATCTGTTTATGGAAAGGATGATATTTTCACTAACTTTGGTAACTACCCATTTTGGCTTTAAAGACACAGGTTAACAATAATAATAACTTGATGCAGAAGGAGCTGAAGTGGAAGCAGTAAGTTTACTTTCTTGGGCTCCAAAATCACTGCTTTATGGTGACTGCACCCATGAAATTAAAATGCACTTGCTCCGTGGGAGGAAAGTTATGACAAAACTAGGCAGCATATTCAAAACCAGAGACATCACTTTGCCAACAAAAGTCCATATAGTCAAAGCCATGGTTTTTCCAGTAGTCAGGTGCGGATATGAGAGTAGGACCATAAAGAAGACAAAGTGCCGAAGAATTGTCCTTTCAAATTGTGGTGCTGGGGAAGACTCCTGAGAGTCCTTCATCCAGCAAGATCCAACCAGTCCATCCTGAAGGAAATCAACCCTGAATATTTATTGGAAGGACTGATGCTGAAGCTGAAGCTCCAGTGCCTTGGCCACCTGATGTGAAGAGCTGACTCACTGGAAAAGACGCTGATGCTGGGAAAGAGAGAAGGCTAGTGGAGAAGAGGGCAGCACAGGATGAGACGGTGGGATGGCATCACCGACTCAACGCACATGAGTGTAAGCGAACTCCAGGAGACAGCGAAGGGCAGGGCAGCCTGGCATGCTGCAGTCCACGGGGTGGCAAAGACTTGGACACGACTTAGTGACTGAACAACAGTAACAACACGCTTATTTCTCACTAGTGGAAGACTCAAAATACACTTTGACTGTGCAGCTGTGCCCTATGCAGGCTCTGATTTCTCCCAAATGGTACCTCACCATCATCATGGTGCTTCTGAGGCTATGATTCTCTTAATATTCACTGGAGGAAGCATACACTCTTCTTCAAATAAATGATGGCATGACAACTGGGCGTTCACAAGTAAAATTATGGGATTGGACAGTCACCTCGTATCATATACAACAGTTAACTCAGAAAGTGAACAAGGACTTGAATGAAAGAGCATAAACTATAAAACTCTTACAAGAAAAACACAGGCCTTAAATTTCATGGCCTTGAGTTTGGCAGTAGATTCTTAGGGAAACAGAAACATAAGTGACAATAAATAAATAAATAAATTGCTAAATTGAACTTCCTCAAAATTTAAAATATTTGTATATTAAAAACATTACCAATAAAGTGAAAAGAAAAGGTACAGAAAAGAAACAATAAAGACAAAAAATTAAATCAGATACAATACGTAATTTACAAATGCCCAACAAGCATGTGAAAGTATTCTCAACTTATTTAGTTATTAGGAAAATGCAAATCAATATCATGATGACATATCAATTTATATCCACTGGATTTGCTGTAATAAAAGTATACAATAACAATGATTGGCAAGGATATGCAGCAACCAGAAGTTATATATTGTGCCTGGGAATCTAAAATGCTGCAGACACTGTAGAATAAGTTTGGTGGTTCCTCTCACGTGGATGAACATAGAATTACTATTAGACAAAATGCTTAGCAGGGAAAAAAAGTCTTTCACAAAGAGGCGTTAGGCTTTCCCCCCAGTTTCTGACAGATAATATATATCTTATGTGATAGTAGAGTCTATTTAGGGAGGAGGGGCTGGGCACACCTGATACCAAGGTGTGCGCATGATAAGGCGCTTCAGTGGTGTTTGACTCCTTGCCACTCTATGGACCGTAGCCCACCAGGCTTCACTGTCCATGGGATTCTCCAGGCAAGAGCACTGGAGCGGGTTGCCATGCCCTCCTCCAGAGGATCCTCCCAACCCAGGGACTGAACCCATGCCTCCTGTCTCCTGCATTGGTAGGCAGGTTCTTTACGACTAGTGCCACCTGGGAAGCACCACAGCATACGTCACATAGAATTCCCTCTACAGCCTGGACCTGAGTTTACTGTGACATGTTAGTTGCTCAGTCATGTCTGAATCTTGGTAACTCCATGGACGGAAGCCCACCAGGCTCCTCTGCCACGGGGTTCTCCAGGCAAGGATACTGGAGCGGGTTGCCATCCCTTTCTGCAGGGGATCTTCCCCACCCAGGGATAGAACCCAGGTCTCCTGCATTGCAAGCGGACTCTCTATCATCTGAGCCACCAGGGAAGTCCATGAGTTTGCCACTTGGGCAAAATTAAATCAGGTTTACCAAGATGCTCTAACTGATGTTAGCAGGGCCCCCACTCAATCTACCATTAATGTTACTTACCAGTGAAGTTCTGTTATTTTATCATTGTACATCAATAGCTATTTTATACGTAATTTGACTGACATGAAAGACTATTTTAGATTTAGCTAGAACTATTTCTGAAGTGTGCATTTCTTAACTTTATTTTTGATGATTTATGTATAAAAAAACAAATAAATTTTATATTAACAAGTAGAATTTTACCAAATCATATTCAGGACTGTGTGGGGGCAGAGACATGACTTCTTTGCACTTATAATGTACCAATTCTTTCTACGTGGTGTTAAATAAATATATTTATTAATTTAAATTTACGCTTTAAATTTAGGCTTCCCATGGTACCTTAGATGGTAAAGAATCTGCCTTCAATGCAGGAGACATAAGTTTGATTGCTGGTCATGCAGATCCCCTGGAGAAGAGAATGGCTACCCACTCCAGTATTCTTGCCATGGGCACAGGAGCCTGGCAGGCTAAAGCCCATAGAATTGTAAAGAGTCGGACATGACTGAGCAACTAAGCACTGGCAAGTCTTTTAACTTCAGCGTCTTAGTGTTGAACAACTCTTAGTTACTATGACTCAACTGATGTGACTCCCTCCTCAGTTCAGTTCAGTCGCTCAGTCGTGTCTGACTCTTTGCGACCCCATGAACCACAGCACGCCAGGCCTCCCTGTCCATCACCAACTCCCAGAGTCCACCCCAAACCCATGTCCATTGAGTCGGTGATGCCATCCAACAATCTCATCCTCTGTCGTCCCCTTCTCCTCCTGCCCTCAATCCTTCCCAGCATCAGCGTCTTTTCAAATGAGTCAGCTCTTTGCATCAGGTGGCCAATTTTCATGACAATTCAAATCCATTCTTCCATGACTTATAATGACTTAAAGAAAAAAAAAAAAAAGAAGACTCACCTGAACAGGCAAATGATAATGTATCTTTACTCAGAAATCTTTTTGTGACAAACAAGTTATCTAGAGACTTTTTAAATCGTCTAGGCTTTAATTAGGTGTTATTTATTATTTTATTGCTAATTCTCTACAGTTTACTAAAGTTGTTGAATGATGTATCAACAAGGGAATTACATTAAATGTGTACACTGTTTTCCTTCCTAAAAATTGGAGTTTGAAATGCTATTAAAAATGCTAGAAAACTTGGACAGTTCTCCACAGTGCTCTTGAAAATGAAAAAGCAAACCTAAGGCGTTTTGCATTGTTGACATAATAATTTGGTGTTAACTAGCTTCCTAGCAGTCTCTTTCACATCTTTGTTCCTGAGGCTATAGATCAGCGGGTTCAGCATGGGGATGACCACTGTGTAAAAGACAGAGGCCACCTTGACCATGAGCCATGAGCTTCTGGAGTTAGGAACACAGTAGAGGAAAAGGATGGTCCCGTGGAAGATGGTGATGGCAGTCAGGTGGGAGGCACAGGTGGAGAAGGCTTTGTGGTGCCCCCCAGTCGAGGGCATCTTCAGGACAGTGATAAAAATGCAAACATAGGAGGTAAGAATGATCACCAGGCTGCTTACTTCATTAAACGTGGCACAGACTAAAATGATCTCCTGGTTAATGTAGGGGTCAGAGCAGGAAACAGCAACTATGGCCGCGTGCTCACAGACAAAGTTATTTATGATATTATTTCCTCTAAAGGGCAATTCGGATAAAAAGTAGGTAAGAGTCAGGGAACAGACTGTACCCCAAGAGTATGATGCACCCACCAATAAGGAACAAAGCTTTGGAGACATCACAACTGTGTAAAGAAGAGGGTTGCAAACAGCCACAAATCGGTCATATGCCATCACTGCCAACAGGAATGTCTCTGTCACCACAAATGTGCAGGCAAAGAAGAATTGCAGGAGGCATCTTGTGAAGGAGATGGTTCTGTCTTCCACAAGCAAGTTTTCTAGCAGCTTGGGTGTAACTACTGTTGAGTAACAGAGATCCACAAAGGACAAATGTCTGAGGAAGTAGTACATAGGGGTGTGGAGTTTGGGATTTATCCTGATAATTAGGATCATGCCCAGGTTCCCCAGCACGGTGACTGCGTAGACGATCAGGAAGGCCAGGAACAGGGGCAGCTGGAGCTGAGGATATTCTGAGAAGCCCAAGAGAATGAAAGTGACTTCAGCACTCTGGTTTTCTTGGTTCCTGTGGACAAAATATAAAAGTTGATTCAGAGACATCTGAAGCAAAATTTGGATGAAATGCAGTGTTATTCGCTCAGTCTTGTTGGATGCTTTTGTGACTCCATGGACTGTATGCCTGCCAGGTTCCTCTGTCCATGAGATTCTCTGGGCAAGAACTGGATGGGTTGTCAAGGCCTCCTCCAGGGGATCTTCCTGACCCAGGCATAGAATGAGAGTACTTATGGGGAAAAGAGTGCATTGAATTCTTTTTTTTTTTTTAATTAGCCTCTTTTCCTCCAAAATGCCTCTATTGTCTTTTTTTGACATTAAAATTCATTCTTTTCAAAGCTACTTCCTAAATTCTTACCGAAACCTGAAATGGCACTCAGTATAAAGGGAAGTTCATTCCACATAGAATTCTCTAAAAATTCTATATCTCATTAGGAGTTGAAACTAAACACTCTGCTACTTTGACTCAGGTTTTATAACTTTATACTCCAAGAACACATATAACCCTTCAAGATTTCCTGTACATGTATAACTATGCCATTCACATATCCCCCCAGTCTTTGTCTTCAGTTGTTCGTTTATATTCCTAAACTTGTGATTAATCCCTGATTCCCTGAAGGTATGTTTCACTTTAACATACAAATCGTAGAGCACATATTCTCTAACTGAAAACACTTTTTCCAAAAGTCAGGATTTGTTCCCTATGTCTATGGTAACAAAGTTTGAATAGTTGAGGGTTGAAAGGGAAATCTTCACCAAGGATGAATACAATTCCTGATGCATACTTGTTCCTTCTTCCCCACACTCCTTATCCACACCTGTAGCTTTTCACGCCACCTCCCACACTCTGTATTCATCAGCAGGCTTGGGGCCAATGTTCCCAATCGCCCATGTAGCCCCAGGAAGTGTCAGCCATGCTCAGGAGCACAGGAGCTGTGCATAGTATTTATCTCCTTTTCTGTGCAATTACCCTGGAATAATTTTCCCATTGCAGACCCACTATGTACTCAGTCCTGTAACAGGCATTTTAGAAATTATAAAATTATAAAATCTCAGCCTCAATTTGTTTCTTAGAGCATTATTCCAAGATATAATCCATATAAGCACAAATGACAACTTATACTTCTTGTTTATTATTAAAATTTGTATGTACAAAAGGAATGAAAATATTGTGATTCAGAAAAACCAAAGATATTTCCTAGTGATGTAGTCTAGTGAACAACAATAAATGTCGTGAAAGATAAATAATCAAAGACTTCTAGTCAGCTAAACAGGTAACCTGGCAATTAGATTTATACACATGTTGTTTGCCTCCTGCAAAGATTAATGGAACATATTAGAAACATATTATTTTCCCTTTAAAGTGAAATAAAAATCAACTCACCTGAGTGTAGAAGAATTTGACTGGCTCATTTAATAAAGCTTCTAAGTTTTAATGGATTCCAGGAAAATTTCTGCTGAGAAATCAATTTTTTTAATATAGCAATAAGCCTGAAAAATAGGAATCTAGAGTATATTACAATGAATATTTTAGAAGAAAATGAATTTCTCTTATAACGTATTAAAAATATGTTCAGACATGACAGAGAGCAAAGGAGACCAAAAAAGCTGAACCCTAACATCAAACTGTCACATATATATGCCACCAAAATCTTAAGGAGGTTTACCTTAGAGAATATTATTTAACTATTGCCTTGAGACCACAAATGGGGCAATTAGATGAAATAATGCCCTTGTGATACTTTGGTTGCATATGCATTTTTTCCCAAAGTTAGGGGAACAATTTCATCATGCACTCTAGTTCACTGATCTTTTAAAAATGTTGAACTAGACACTATATTTTTGTCTTTAAATACTTGCAAAATGCAGAAATATACTAAAGCAAAACCAGCTATTGGGTAACAATCCAAAGATTCTTAATTTTTGTTGAATTTCTGGTTGTCCCTCTGTATCTGTATCTGTGGGCTTCCCTCATAGCTAGTTGGTAAATACTCCTCCTGCAATGCAGGAGACCCCAGTTCGATTCCTGGTCGGGGAGATCCCCTGGAGAAGGGGCAGGGTGCCCACTCCAGTATTCTGGCCTGGAGAATTCCACGTACTGTATAGTCCATGGGGTAGCAAAGAGTCTGACACAACTGAGCAACTTTCACTTTCTGTGTATCTGAGGGACATATTGATGTGTTTGGATGTAAAATTTAAACAATATAAATCATATTATAGCGTTTTTTTAATCCTTTCTTTAACATTGTGTTGTGTTTCATTTTCTATAAAAGCGATTTGTTTTCTTAAGATAATACAACTTGCATTACTATTACAAATATGAGCACATTTTTTTATTCTTACATTTATTATTGAAATTCCATTCTATTTTTCAATTTGTCATCTAGGTTTATGGGAAGTATAGTATATTTATTATTTAAGAAGCTGCCGTATCTTAACATATAAACATCTCTACTCCAGTGACTTAATTTAGTAGAACAGGGAGCAGCACTTTTTTCTGGAAAAAGGTGTACAGTAAATACTTTAGCCTTTGTGGGCCACATCGTCTCAATTTCAGCTATGCACTTCTGCATCTTGCAGCCTGGATTCACCTGTAGACAATACATAAATCAATAGGCATGACGCTGTTCCAATAAAAGTTTATTTATAAAAGACAGTAGGACAGATTTGGTTTGCAGATCACACCTTGTTAACCTATGCAATAGAATGCATTTCTTGATTGTTCAAAGTCTCAAATTATTTCCAGATCAGTAGGCAGATGCCCTCTGAGTGGCAATGCAGAGACTTAAGCTTGTTCTCAATTATGGCTTATGATAATGTGGCTGGGTGCCTGTGTGTTAAGTCACTTGAGTGGTGTCTGCCTCTCTGCAGGGGTATGGACTGAAGCCTGCCAGTCTCCTCTGTCCATGGGATTCTCCAGGCAGAATTCTGGACTGGGTTGCAGTGCTCTCATCCAGGGAATCTTCCCAGCCCAGGGATCAAACCTGTCTCTCTTGGATTGGCAGTTGGGTTGTTTATCACTAGCGCCACCGAGGAAGTTCAACAATGGAATTGTTATGGTATAATTATAATGTAGTGAGAGAAATAATAATTTGGTTTAAAAAATACTACACTTTTCTGCATTGCTACTGTGCATAATATTTTTGTGTTTTGCTTATTTATTTTTCATTAAGCTTTTGTCAAGCATATTAAGAGTGCTCTTTACATGTTGAGATACTTGAATAATGACCAAGATATTTCCTGATCAATAAAATCACAATAGGACTTTGAACTTTGAGTCAAACTATAGTGTTAAGGTAGATTGAAGGGGTAAGAAAGAAAACAAAAGACATTTTAAGCAGAGAAGACAGTCTGAACCAAGGTAGGAGTTTGAATGTTCAAAATTTTTTTCAATTAGAAGTAGAGTTTATGCAGGGCAAACTTTGGGAGATGGTGAGGGACAGAGAAGCCTGGCCTGCTGCAGTGCATGGGGTTGCGGATTGACTGCAAGACTGAACAACAAACAGTATTGAGGGGGTAGCAGGCAGGAAGGCCCGGGGTCTCCAAACGGAGGAAAGAGGCTGCGCGTGCCAGACATTTTTATCTCTCTTAAGCGGCAGGAAGAAACAAACCAGCGATATTTTTTCTTCTCTGTACAAATGTAAAAAGAGGTTTCTCTTAAAATGCTGTGTTGCCATGACACCTGGTTTCACCTGAAGCTAACTACTCTCAAACCTTGAGTTAACCAATACATTATTCTTATGGAAATGTTGTCTTAAGCTATGTTAATGTGCCCCAGACTCTATCTTCAAGTTGGTTCCGCCAAACAGCCTAATTTACTTACTCAGGTATTGTTCCCCTAATCTATGTAAACGAAACTATTTGCTGGCATTCTGCCCTTCTGCAAGATTCAAGTCAATCGTTTTATGGCCAGGGATGAATTATCTGGTGCCATTCTAAATTTAATACAGTGAATGACTGTATAACATACAGCTAAAGACTAGGAGGGGGGTACTCTTTTGCCCCCTTCTGATGCCTATGTCAGAAGCTTTCTCTATCTCCTTTATATTTTAATAAAACTTGATTACACAAAAGCTCTGAGCGATCCAGCCTCGTCTCTGGCCCCGGATTGAATTCGTCTCCTCCGGAGGCCAAGAATCCCGCGTCTTATCGTTCAGCAACAATCTTTCAGTATGAGATACGATCGAGGGAATCTAAACTGTGTAAAGAATGCGATTAGGATTAGTAACGCTTGCTGAACCGAGTTGAGTTCCATGCCCACAGGACAAGTATGTAGTAAGGAAGAGGTTGTGGTTGTAAAACAGTGTTGACAATGGGGATGAAACTGATTCAGTTGCAATATTATAATCATGGCATTCAGTGTGGTTTCATTAGTAGTTGATGTAAACAGAAAGAAGTAACTCCCATTTTCATTTTGATTCAGAAACAAACATTATGTTCTCGACAACATCTCACTGCAGATAAGTGAATAATTCCCAGAAACTAGCAATAATTATACAGGCACCTAAAATGTGAAGTAATAAACAATGAGGTGTAATATTGGAGCTAGAGCATCTGATAAACCAGTCAAAGGCCTGAAGACATCTGAAACACAGAAGGAAAACAAAAAGAGACTCTTAACACTGTCTTCAAATATTTCAAGGCTAAAACATGAAAGAAACACTGGCCCTTTTTTTCTGTTTTCTGAGGACAGAAATTTAATTTTAAATGAATCCACTTCTAAAAGCAACAGGAAGCTGATTTCAGAACAACAATAAAAGAATTTTCTTTTTTTCTCCAGTGTCAAAAAACAGAATAGTGTGAATGACTCAGAGTCTCTGGGTTGCCCAGTTTCACTAAAAGTATATAAGAAGGGGCTCTAGAGACACAAACTTTAATGTAAACAAAAAGAAGGGGGAGCCTCTTCAGGAAGCACACAGGCAAGATATTAAACTCCACAACGTCTCTCT